ACACACAAGATTGTAACATATCTAAATATCTTGGTATGAGCACCTTCATTCGTCATTAGCCAGAACCCTCTATCAAAATGTCTTTGTGATTTCTGTGAGTAATTCTCAGGAATGGGTTCTTGAGCTCTTGTTGGGATGTTGACAGTCTTTTTTTCTGTTGTCTCCAGGCTCCTGGGAAACGTTCATCTGACCATCGGCCTTCCGGCCACGCCTCGTGTCGCTTGGCATATCGGTTGAGACCGAACAATACAATCCATGGACTGAAAGGCCAGATGCATCTCCCGGTTCTTGCCTTGGACTTGTTTCCGTTTCTGAGAGACGTCAGGGTATGCGTGGTAGTGTGGTGATTAGCATGGTGGGTTTACAGCCAGAACAGACCTGGAATGAATCCTGGATTGGGCGTTTTTCTGTAGAGTTCGCATATTCTGACTGTGCATGCCTTGATTCTGATTTCAAAGTAGATTATTAGCCAAGTTGTTTTTTATCTCTGTGCATTTATGTGTATTTTCTTCCCCTTTTCTGCTCCCTTTGGCATCAAAACATGCATGATTCATAAATTAGCTGACCTCAAATTACCTAAGGGCATGTACTATTGTTGGATCAACAATATTAATCAGCCAGATATAATTGATAAATAATTCCCTAAAGGGAAATTCTCTGGTAAGATTTTATGACCAGTTGGCCATTTAAGAGTGCAATAAGATTTTTTTATCACTAACGCACCGCTTCCCTCAAAATCACAGCGGGGCATTCACATTCAACATGAAAATTCCACTACACTGAATACTCAGAGGGGAATAAAAAGGCCTGAAATGCTGGATATAAACTTGACGGAGTGGAGGCTTTCCAGCTGAGGGGTCAAATCGTGACCAACGCAGTTGCAGCTGTTGTTTCTGTACATTATCTAACGTTGTGTTCACGTTCCGTTAGAACACGCTGACCCACTTACATAACATGAATATGTTCAGCTAACTCTGTATTTTGCACATGAAATCAAACTAAACCAGTAATTTTAATAAATACTGAATATATTAACATTTTAGACTCACACAGGGCAGTCGTATAAAAAGCCCATAAATATTCATTCTCTCATTTATGATTGACTAGTACTGTCCCTTTTGTACATTTAAACAAATTAAACAACTGTGCCATGGCCAAAATAAACATATGAAGGAAATAAAAATGTTTCCATTAGCTGGAAGATTGTGAGAGACAGAAACATATATTATTCTGCTGATAATTAACACCCATGCTTATTTATTTCTATTTTCCTTCCGTGCAACCAGCTTCTCGTGTCCCCTTTAAAGCAATTTTCACCCATAATTTTTTAGAACCTTTGATGGTCAGTCATTTTTTTCTGTGGACATTGGTTCTTTAAAAAAAAAAAAAACTCTTTTTCAGTTACTTCTGTTTCTATTGTTGGTCTTTGGCTTTTCCTCTGTCAGATCACTTAAGACTGGATTTGTATTATTTTGAGCACAGAAAATACCCCCTACCTCAAGGGATGAGCCCTTGTTGTGCCTTCACAAAACAGACCACTTAGCCAAGGAGCTATTTTGAATGATATCTTTAAGCTATCTTATCACATAATTTGTTCCCATTTCTTTGGTTGTATCTATTACAAAGCACCACAGATAGCCCAGTTAGACAGAGATAAAATAGGTGATAGTTTATTTGGACCGATGACATGATTGCCTGGAAGCTGTTACACAGCTTGGCAAAAGTGCCACCTAGTGACGACAAACACACAAGGCTTTTCTGTGTATTTTTTTTCCGTTTCAAGTTTTGCTCAAGTATTTTTACTAAAGTGATTGCGTACAAATTTATACTTCAGGTGTGGGCATTTTTTATTAATATAAAAGAATTGACATTCTAATTTAGAGGAGGGCTTTATGGGGATTTTTGCTATTTAAAATGCTGTTTTGTGGTGAGATATGGACTAATTCTTTACTGTTTTTGATCAATAACTTTAATAAAAAAAGGTGCAAAGTAATAAGATAGTTTAAATTATTTTGTTCAATTTAATTAAGTGCACAAAAAACATTCAAGCCACAGCCCGGTGTTTGAAGTACTGACTCCATTTGTATCAGTCACCGCCACCTACCGCTCCCCCCGCTTCTTTCCCAGCATGCATCCGGCTTCAACCGTGACTGTATCAGGTTTTAAAATCTCTCCACTGATCCCTCAAAGTACAATTTGTTCTGAAGGAAACTAGGTGCATCCCGGCTGTCGTTTCCGCCAGCCGGCCAAGAGATGGAGCCCTTTTCCTGCAAATGGCTCCGGAGCTTCTTCTTTTGAATCCCTACGGGGCCACAGCCGGGGTGTGCAAACCGTGGAGGCCGCAGGGGGGTGTTGGGGAGTTCCAGGCAGTTAGTGTCCCAGTGGGGTCTTTTGTGCCGGGCGCTCGGGGGGCAGTTTGAGTTTAGTGGCCCCGTTTGCACCATATGCCACCAGAGGCCTGACTGTCACATTCTATGAGGACCTCTGTGATGATGGCATAACTAAGCGCACGGCTTTCCACAGCCCAAGTCAAGGAGGAGCATCCAAATGTCTATTTTTAGATAAATGGCATCATACTTTTCAGTTAGTTTGCATTTAACCTTTATGATTGTCTTTCAATGATAATAAAAAAAGTCGCTTTGGATAAAAGCGTCGGCTAAAAATGCATAAATGTCATTCAAAAAAAGTACAGCTGTGGTTAGTATTAATAGTAGTGGTTGTAAGAGGTAAGTGTCCTCTTAACAAGTGGGGACTTTTTGCTCTGGGGGATTTTGTTCAATACATTTCAGTCATTGCATTTTTGTGAACTTATTCATTTTTAACGGGATCAGGAGTTTGGAGTGGGGACGGATGGCTTGGCTGTTCACACAACCTTGTATTTGTCACAGGAATGACACAAGTTCAGGTCAAGTGACTGATCTGATATGGAGGCAGTTGCAAAGCTTATTCGCTTTTGAGGTGCAGCTCAACGATGAAATTGGATGGTATCTGGACAAAATGTTTATTGTAAAACACATTGTAAAAGACATTTACATATGTACACACAAAAACTAAATTTCAATAAGTAGTGCATCACTGTGATTTTGAAGGCTTTACTGTTTTGGTCAAAGATGAACATCAGATTTAGATTCATATAGTTTTAACCTCCATATGCTCTTCTTTATGTTCATATAGACTTAGAATGTGGGCTCATTTTTAGATGAGCTTCTGTGACTACACTAAAAGATTTTCCTGATGTGCAGCTTGAAATAGTTCTCAATGATGCTCCTGATTAAAAGTGAATGATCTCTTAACAAATGTGAACTCAATTATAAAGCCGAGTTTTTGAAATAGGGACTAAACCATCCCCTTGGTTTGGTACGTTGTGCCTAACGGTGCTCCTGACTGACTAAAGCTTCCATCAGCCGGGGCTGCGCACACACTCCACATAAAGCAACGGCCACGATTCCCACTGAAAGGATAAAGCTCTTCGCAGAAATAGCCAATTCCTTCGTTCTTAAAGCGTGCACATCTATAAAGACGACCGGACGACAGAGAACTAGCTCGTTTAGCAACCGATACGACGTGAACGCTAACTCGCAGATGTTTTGCAACTAGCCTGTTAGCCGACACGGTTGCGTAATTCCACTGTTGTGAGGTTAAAGTTAAATCATACTAGTGTATTTTTTGCACACTTAAGTGCACTGACACTCGATATTGGGCTACTCCGCGTTTGTTAAACGGCTCGAAATACCGAAACAGCCGCGTTAGCAACGTTAGCACTGATGTTAGGGTATTGGAATCTGACACTCTTCAGTGGGAGCCGAGAGCCGTTAGCGTCAGTACGATAACATTTCGAAATATTTCCTCACGGAAACGGCTACTATTGCCACTTATGTTTAGCCCGAAGCGAAGACAGCATTTCACGCTGGCCAACGGATGCCAACGAGTAATTGGATTAACGCAAAACGGCTCAGCCCGGCGTTGTTTTTTTCTTTTTTTTCTTACACCGCTAACGTTTTTCGACGCGCTAGCGCGCGAGCGGCTCGTTAGCCCAGAATTCTGCTCACGAGCGGGGGAGTCCAAACGGGCGCGAGCTCAACTCCGGCGTCCCGCAGTTTAGTCCCCGAGAAAAACGCAACGTTTCGCAAAGCACCGCGCGGGGGGACACGCGCCACTCCGTTGTCTTGTGTCAATTCCTCAAAATGGGGTCTGCTAACGCACATCTCCGCCATTTTGTGACAGGTTTTTCATTGAGCAAAGGGGTACGTGTAATGGTTGAATGTAACCCCATCAAGAAGATATCCGCTTGGCAGTTGCAGAGAAAAGGGATCAGGAGTAATTTCCAACCACCCCCGTGAGATAAAGTCGTTTTGAAGTGGTCAGCAAGGGATAGTGGCAGCTTACCACGACCGCTTAAAAGTCCCCAGCAACAGATTGCACCAAGGGGGGGTTGGGGAGGGGGGTAGAAGTTCACCAAATAGACCTCCCTGCTACTGCCTCTGTTTATGTTTTGCAGACATAATATTACAGAAACTCTTGGGATGTATTTTTATTCAGAGCTGTCATTTTAGTTGTGACTCATAATTTCCAATGTCAATAACCCCACTTTTTTTTTTAGGTATTAACATTTTTTTTCTTATATACATTTGAGATAATTTATTTAATGAATAAAATAAATAACGGGATTTATACCGTCAATACGCTCATTTTGAAGTAACGTCAACTTTATATATGTCTTTAATCGAATATGGGGAAACGCGCTGGGTGCCATTCAATTGAAGATTTGGCCACCAAAATTCCCGATTGGAATAGTAAGGGAACAGTGTTAATTAGTGTTGCCCCCCCCCCCCCTCCCCCCCCCCCCCCCCCACGGGGGCATTTCCAAGAACCTCCTGACCCGTTTTCCAAGCCGGGAGAGCAGTTGTCAGACGGTCCCTAAAAAGCCAAACAGTCTCTATTGTTCCAGCGGCCGCCGTGGGCCGGTCGGCGGGTGCAGTTGCGGCCAGTGGCCACAGAGGGCGCTGCGCGCATGGCAGCTCGAGGCTCCGCGGCCTTCACATCTTTTTGTCTGAGAACTGGATCCCTCTGCCGCTCTACAGTGTGCGCGATAGCCTCCGAGCTGCGTCCGTAACACACTGTCAAACCACTCCAAACGAAATACAGCCGCGACCAAAAGCATTCATTCAGCACCTCCAGCCATGGCGTTTCCGACCTGCCGGTAAATCGGTCGTATTCGGGACTGTTCGCTGGAACTTGGTCCGGGGTTGGATCGGGCTTGCTTTCTGTGTGCATCAGTCTTTATTAGCGAGCTGCCGCTCTCCTTGCTATCAGCTATTTCTTTAACTTTTTAAACACTCGGCTCGGCGAATGACTGAGCGCCGGCGGAGTATGGGATCCTTGGTGTCTTAGGAAGCAACCGAAGTGGGCTTTAACCGTTTTTGCATGCAAAAACAATGGCAAATTCGACGGGGAAAAATCTACTAGATCAGCGAAGGAAAGGACAGGCTTTCCTGGACGAGCTGCGGCAATTTCACCAAAGCAGAGGGTGAGATTGGGGCGTCTTTATTCCCGTGAAATATAACTTGAAATCTAAATTGCATGTGACAGAGAGTTGGCCGAAAGTGTAATTTAAACGCGCGTGCGTTAATTTCTTGTGTTATCCCAACAGATCGCCGTTCAAGAAGATTCCTATCGTGGGTGGGAAAGAGCTGGACCTCAATGCTCTGTATGTGAGAGTCGTCTCTTTAGGTGGATTTGCTAAGGTGAGTGGGGGACCAAACGTGTTATTTCTCCACGCTCCGCCGTGTGCGGACTCCACGCAGGACTTCCCCCACAACTCCGCGCGGATAACCCGGGACAAGTGTGGCACCTCCGGGGGGGGGGAAAGAGACGTTCCAGGGGTCGGCGTTGGCCTTGTGCTAGTTGTGCCCGTGTATCTCGGGCGCAATGTGGTGGCTCGTGTTTGTTGTGCGGTTTGAATCGGGGAGTCCGACCGCTCCGGAGTCAAGAGTGCAGTTGGAGGGACTCAAAAATTAGCGGGCACGTTTAACATCGATTATCGGCACGGAGCCCCCGGCCTAAGGGGGAAGGCACCGCGTCCGACACAGCTGCGTCGCCCGGGCTTTCCGCCGGCAGCCTTTTTTTTTTCGCCCAGGGGGGAGGCAAAGCTTGACATTTTTTTTTCTTTCCCTCTTCCCCCCTTCTCGCAATAGCCATCTTTATTCGGCTTCATGGCTGAACGCGAAATGTAGGCCTCACAGGCCCGTGTAGTGGGTACGGTAAACACCGCCGAGACTCACTCCGAAAGCCAAACGGCTCACCGCAGGCTAACGCGGTTGGAAATGGTCGGAGGCAGTTTGTTTGGAGTTTGGCCTCGCGAGGCTTTAACAGCAAAATGGGGAAAAAAGTCAAGTTAGCTCGTTAGCCACAGCGCTAACTAGCCTCAACTGTAACGATAACGTCCTAAATGGAGCCTGGCAGTTGGAGTTACTAACATGTCACGTTTAAACACACGTCCCAAATAGACGTAACGAAAGCTAACCAAATGCCCGAAACCGTTGCCAGTTTTAAACTGTTAAGTATTTAGTAGTTTGACAAAGTTATTGATTAGTGATTCTGATATTTGAGAGAGTAAAGGGGGGGTGGGGGGAGACGACCTGTAGCACCAGATGGCTTCACTGTAACCGCTCTTTTTGTTGTTGTTGTTTGTGTTGTGTTCTGTTCTAACGGGCTCCTTTTTTAATTTTTCTTTTTTTTTACCTTGTAGGTCTCGGACAAAAACCAATGGAGCGAGCTCGCCGAGGACTTTAACTTTCCCAGGAATTGCTCCAACGCGGCATTCGCTTTAAAACAGTACTACCTGCGGTAAGTGAGGCTGCCGGGCCATTCCGTGCCGTTCCGGGCCGCTCCGGGCTCAGGTAGCATGTGGGAAGTGTTTACAAACGGGAAGCGGCATTAGGCGGGCTCCCCTCTTGTTTTGGAAGCTACTACACACCGCCTCAGGGAGTCTGAGCTCTGGTTGAAAAGAGTGTGACACATAGGAGACTCTGCTTTGGTTGAGTTTTACATTTAATTTGTTTTTGGGGTTGGGGGGGTTAAGGCTGGCGATGCTTTCCCCCCGTCTTGAGCGTAAACTTTTCGGTGGGCTTCCTGGCCTTATTTTGGGGGTATGGGTCGGCGTTGAGCAGCTGTGTGTTTCGCTTGGGATTGCATCCATGCCCCCCCCCCCACCCCCCTCCAGCAGTCAGCTGCCAGTGATGGCAGTCTGGTGTGAATGCTGCCATCCACTCAAACAGCTGGCAGGTTTTTTTTCCTTCTTCTTCTTCTTCTTCTTCTTCTTCTTCTTCTTCTTCTTCTCTGCTCTGTGCTGTGGTTACTCCCATCCCTAACACCTGCCTGCAAGGGTTTGCACTTGTGTAGCACAGAAACCCTCCGATCCCCTTTGTTTTTTATTAGTTTTCCCCCCCTCTCTCCTCCCTTTTTAAGCGTAGTAACTAATCACATAGGCGTTGTTGATGACTCGGCATCTTTGAGAAGTTGGCACCGCTTGGCTCGGAGCCCCCCCAGAAGTTTGGGGAACTCCAACAGGTGTAGTTTAGAGCACTGAAACAAGGGCTTACCCCCCAACAAGTGAAACCATTGTTGTGTGAAAGCAATTGTGAAGATATGCCGGAGTGGTTTGACTTTTTCTTTAAAAAAACAAACTCTGGACCTGGATCGGAGCTTGTGTTGGCATTTTGCTTTCTTATCCGGTCAGCTTCTCGGCCTGTGATATATGTTTGGGATGGAGCGGTGAATCGTTGTAGAGCTGTCCACCTCGCGCTGACCGTCCTCCTGCGTCCAGGGGTCGTACAGGTACAGCGGACTTGTGCTCGCTTGAGCTGAGAGGGTGTTTGCTAACATCAGCTAACCCTGATTATCCAGTCGAATGACCACCTGTAACCGCCCTCTGTCTGGGTTTGCCTTTCTAAGGGCTTTCTTTGGAATGATGTGGGAGTTATAGTAGAACACACTCATGCAGTAGTTGTTGTCAGCCCGTTTTTTCTCACCGCAACCGTTTGAAATCAGTGAGCAGGTAGAGGGGAAGGGCGCTCTATTTTTGGCGGGACTGCGCCGGTGATCGAGCCCTCTGGTCCGAATGTGTCGGAAAGACGGCGGTCTGGAGTTCAGCGCTCAAAAACCGCCGCCTTCTATCCGATAAATAAATGCCACCCTGTAACAAGCAAGCAGAAATGTGGCAGAAACTTTTTTTCCCTCCTCCTTCTTCTTTTTTCCTTCCTCTCTCCCAAGCTCATTTTCAACTGGCTGAAGCTCCGACATCAATCGCACTGATATTATTTCAGCTCCAGAGAATGAAGGATTTTTGGATCAAAGCCTCAGACTTAAGACGCACTGAGGGCACAGTTGAAATTTTAGCTTTTGTTTTTTAGCCTCTTACACAGCAGGATTGAAGCAAGATGCTGAAGATGGCTATATCGGGTCCTTCTTTTTTTTTCCCGGGTCTTGACTTGTATATTTCTGTTCAGCGTCTGTGTGTTCTGAACTCTTTTTTTTTTTTTTTTTGGAGCAGATCAGAATAGAATTATTAAAGCCCGATTGTGCATAAGTAAATAGAGCATTTGGAATCTCCACTTTTCCACAGCTTTTTCTGTAAGTTTCCCCGTCATCTGGAAGTGCTCCGCGCTAAAATCTAACCCCCGAGGATGACCTGTGTTTAAGCACAAGTGGCTTTCCCGACTTGTTAAACGGCTTCCGGCGTGTTCGCCGGGCTCAGTAATCGGAGAGGTGACGAGGAGTGTGTCGAAACCAGGCCCCCGGTGGTGCTGCAGTTCTCCCAAAACCGCGTCCCGCTGAACCCGGGAGGCAGGTCGGGTGACGGATACCCTGCTCCGACCTCCGCTTGCCCCCGTCTCCACAGCCCCATCTGCAGGAAGCCGGGCCCCCGCGAGTCACTGCCGTCTAGGAATACCCAGTTCAGCTCCCGCGCTCTCCATTTATCGGGATGGAGTTTGCACACATGGCCTCCACCGTGGATTTAAGCGCCCTGTCCTGTCCTGTCGCGTGGAGGCTTTAGCCCCACGTCATTAATTGTTGTTCAGTTGCGATCGGAATAGAACCAAGCGTCCAGCCGGCTCTTATTATGATCAAGTTTGGTCCGGAAACTTTGCTCTGTGTTAAGTTTTCTTGGTGTTTTCTCGGTTTTTCTCGCACGCCGCTTCTTTGCGAGCAAAGCAGTTTAAACCAACCGCTAAAGGTGCCATCGGATTCACACGTTTTCTGTCCATCGTTTGACATATCTGCGTTTACTGTTGTGAATGAAGTTTTCCACTTCCTTCTCGGCTTTTCCCCCCATCCCCATAAGGGGCCGGCGCTTCTCCCAGCAGTTAGAAATGTAGCGCCCGGTCTGCTGCGGACGGCTGGCCGCTGATTGGCCGCCCGATTCCCCGTCTTTTCAACAGCACACGTCCTAGTTTGAGTCGTTTCTGTGATTGTCAGGGTCGCAAATGCCTAACACAGGGAGCAAACACCCAGGTCCGGCCTAGGCTTGTCCCGATTCGATATTTGGATCGGATCGGCTGCCGATATTTGCAAAAAATTGCGCATCGGTCGGCAGGAGAAAATGCCGATACAGACTCCCTATTCAGTTTTTTTTAAAGTCCGATTCCACACGAGCATTAGCATCTCCTAACCCACAGGTCTGTGTCCTAACCATTAAGTTATCAGAGTAAATCCCTGTTCAACATGAGTCTGACAACTAAGTAAGTAGATAAATAATTTTAAACTTGAATACATGCTCTGATAGGCCGGTATCGGATCGGAAGTGCAAAGAGCTGGATCGGGACATCTTTAGTCCGGCCAGCTTCCATCCTTTGCTCGTGATGTCACTGGTCTGCCGACTTGTTTTTTGTCAGTACCTGGTATAATGTTAGGCAGGGCTGAGTTGGTCCTAAAGGGAAAAACCCCCCCAAACTTCTCACGACCCCACCAGTCACACAGCCCCGCGAACATGTCTGCGTTTTTTTTCTCCGGTATTTAAAAGGCCAGAAGCAGCTACAGGTGGCTTTTAGTCTGTGTTTTCATCGCTTGGTAAAAGGCAGCTTCTAATGACACGATCGGCCCTCTTTCCGCGCCCCCCCCCTCCGACCTGAGTGGGCCGCGATGAGGAACTCGCCGCCCACTGCTCGTGTCTTAAGTCGGGAGAGTGTCAATCGCAACGCGGCGTCTTTATCTTTCAGCCCGGGAAAGAGCTGTCACCGTTTCCAGAGCAAAGACAGGAGCCCGGCCACACAGAAACACCGGTTTAGTTTTTTTTAGTTTGTTCCCTCTCCTCCTATGATGTGGGTTTTTAGTTTTCACCCCGCGTACTCTCCTGGCTGTAGTTCCCGCTCCGTTTCCCGCGCCAGCCGATGGATTCCCCTGCCCGTCTGGAACATCTGGACCAGGCAGCCTTTGATCTGCTTCACATTAGCTGTGTGTGTGTGTGTGTGTGTGTGTGTTTTTTTTTCTCTCTCTCATGCCGCCGCCTCATCTGAGCGGGCGCTCCGGCTTCAGAAGTGCCCGCCTGATGACCATTTGAGACGCGCACAGGCGCCTTTTCCTTCCTCCTCCTAAATAGCAGCGAGAGTTTCTCAGCGACACAGCGGCAGCAAAGGGAACTTGTTACCACAGATAACACCTAAAGGCTCTCGAGACTTTGTGTTTTTGTTTCCGAACGCAATTCGACCTACCCTCCAGCGGCGTGAGCCATCACTGATAGCCTAATCTTCCTCACTCAGCTTCCTCGCTAACAAGCAGATGGGCAGATCTGCCTTCTGCTGGACAGAGTTGATACAATCTGGCTTTAGCCTTTCATAAAGGAGATGATGCATTCGGTGGGGGGGGTGGATCACCGACAGGAAACCAAACTGTTGTTGAATGTATTCGGCATAGTTCAGGAGCTTGGGTAAATTCTTTATTGTTTTCATTTCGCCCACGCCAAACCTTTTAATCATTCCCACATTCGCGGCCGTCTTTAAGTGTGTTTTCTTGTCTAGGATAAATCAGGCTTCAGCAGAGCTGTCATCATTATTCTTATTAAGAAAAAAAAGAAAACGGCAGCTTATCTGGACTGCTGGCACCAGAGGCCTCTGCTCGACAAAAACCCCCCGTTTAATAAGCAGATTGAGGGAGGAAAAAGTGTCGGATCGGAAAAGAACCGGCTCGCTACTGTCGGCCTTTAGCGAGGAAGCCTTCATTTAATTTGAGGCAGCGTAGAAGAAGAGACGGGAGGAAGAGTGGATTTATTTACTACTTTTTCACGAAAGTTGGATTAGTTTTCCACCAAACTTTTACCAGAAAACCAAATTGTTGTGTCAGTCTGATTTAAACTTGCAGCTTCTCAAAGCTTTGACTAAACTGAGCGGTTTAAGAGCAACTGGATTCGAGTGACCACAGAAGGAGCCAGATATAGGAAAGAAAACCCAAAAGGGGTTTCTTCTCATTCAAATCATTGTCAGACGACTAGATGCGTAGAAATTACTTAAACTCAGCCCCTTAAGATGATTGCCACTCTGCTCTAACAAAACCCAGAATTTTAGTTTTCCCCACCTACAAACTCGGCATTCAGGTAACTTCAAGAGCACGTCTGGACTTGGAATTCATCTGAACTTGAACGGACATCATCTCAGACATACTGTCCATCATTTGTCTTTGGTTTTGCTCCAACGCTGACCGGTAGACGCAGCGGAGCGCTAACAGCTAACCATGTTAGCTCGCGGTCTGAATACCAGAAAACGAACCCCAACGGCCCTGTTGCCAGCGGCAACGCCGACGGACGACGGCGGAGGCCGGACCTCAGCGTTGGCGCCGCGGCGTTGAACTGCGTAGCTAGCCATTACTACGTGGAACGACTAAGAAACGAGGACATCGGACGTTTGTTGTCGCCGTGTGTTTTGGACTTACCCACTCAGGTGGATCCTCAGCCAATCAGCGGCCTGACCCTTCCCGCTCAAAGCCAAGCAGGGGCTCAAATTGTACATGCTGAGAGGTTTTACCCCAACCCCTGAGAAATTTTCTCTTCCTGGCTGACCGTTAGAAGGGATGAAATGGCCTCGTTACAGCTCGTTTAAACCCATTTTTTAAAAAAATGCAGCTGGATCAGGAGAGAGGAAAAAAGACTGAAAGCAGGTCTGAAGCTGCCATAAAGTCAAAGCCGTCTCATAAATCAAACGACGGTTTTTAAGATTCGCTTGCCTCCCACCAGACATAGGTGCCCCCCCGGATGGAGCAAAAACGGTGACCCAGAAATCCGAGCCCATCGTTTCTCAGCAAAAGCTGCTGGCCGGCGGCCGGAGTGTCCAGCAGGGGGCGGCCGGGGCTGCCGGCCGGGGGCAGCCAGAGGTGTCTCCCCCCCCTGGAAGGCTCCGGCTCCTCGCTGGTGGAGCTGGGGGTGGGGACGGGGGTGGGTGGCGGGGGTTTGGAGGGGAACTTGGCAGCGGTGTAGATGCGGGAGGGGGAGGGGGTGAGTCTCATGCAAAACGACGGCGGTTGTGGCGCTGGCTCTAAACAGGATGAGGCTGATGTGTCTCTTATCATCCGTGTGTGTGTGTGTGTGTGTGTGTGTGAGGGGGGGAAGTAGCTCCAGCACATGGAGCTGCACTCGACTCTATTATCCAACCCCCCTTCCCCCCCCCAGCCTTTATCTCGCCTGTGCCCAGACAGCGGTTGATGACGCTGCAGTCAGTTCTCTCTCTCTCTCTCTCTCTCCCTCTGCTGTCTACACACACACACACGCACACACACACACACACACACACACACACACACACACACTCTCCTCCCTCTGCAAAAGAAGGCAGGGTGTATTTATAGTCCAGTGTGTCAACCGACAGGCAGCGAGCGGGGGATTACCTCGGCCACGATGAACAAGCGGGTCCTAATTCGGCACCGGGCGCTCGGCGGGTGACTCACGGCGGCCGCCGCCGCTGAGGCATTCCGCCGCCGCCGTCTGTCAGGGAGACTTCAGCACGCCGCCGCGAGGCGTTAATCAGCGCCCGCACAGCCCGCAGAGTTTTCAGGCTGCAAGTACAGAAGATTCAAAAGGTTTTTGAGCAGGTTAAAGAACAGAAACGTGGATGTTTTTAGTGCCTTTTTAAACGCCGGCCAATCAGTGAAGGAGCAGAATTGGGCAAAAGCTCAACTGTAAAAATGTTTTATTTATTTATTTATTTTCTCCACCAAAATTCAAACTGAGACTCTGGGGTTGTAGTTTGTGTGTGATGTCTTCAGGCACAAGAAAGCTGCTCATCGTTTCATTCTGCTCTCTATCCATCAGTCATGTGAGTTCACGCGCTGTTAGATTTTTTGAGCTTGTTTTATACTGACCGAAATCCGGCCCGGTCCGTTCTACGGTTGTGGGTTCGGCTCTCCGGACAGCAGATTGTCTCTTTTATCTCTTTTATTAGAGCTGGAAGACGCCTTTATGTCGATGTGTATGGAGGCCTCAGTTCTGGTTTTGTCTGCACTAGGCCGTTCTCTACTGGATTTTTTATAAACGCAGCTTTCTTAATTTTTTTATTTAAAAAAAAATAATAATAATAATTTTTGTCTTTATATTTCAAGGCTTCTTCAGGACAGTATATCTATCTGCTAGTAATGCACTTACCTGAGATCGTGGTGATATGTTGTGTTCAAATACCTTTAAAAATGTTGTTTTTTAGTTTTTTTTTTAACTGGAATCTATTTTGTGTTTAAGAGGTTTTGGATGTGTGGGAAAAAAAAGTTTGGTGAATGATTTATGACTCCAGTGTTTTTGTTGATTGCCCTTTTAAAAAAAAAAAAACGAAAAAAAAAAAGATAAAAGATGCTATAGTATAGCATTTATAGTATATTCATTGAACTTTTTAAACAGAAATGATCCAATCAAGCAGATTTCAACTCTTTCCAGGCTTTCTTTTAACATACATACACTTCTACCACCTGGCGACCATTCAAGAGAAAGTTTTAAAAACTTGTATTGTTTTTTTTTTTATCTGACTGGGAGCTGGGGAGCACATATAGTTTGAATTCACACGAAATTAACTATAAGTTTAGTTTTTTACTACCATTGCATAGTGAGGCTGTTTTTTTGCATCATAACAAACAGATTCTAATATCAACTTTTCTTATTTTTAACCCCCACCCCCCTGCTTTCCTCACAGATACTTGGAGAAGTATGAGAAAGTCCACCACTTCGGCGAGGACGATGAGGAAGCGCAGCCGGGGAATCCCAAAGCCTCCCTTCCCGTCGGTGCCATCCCCAGCACCTACAACTACCAGCAGCACGTCGTGTCAGGTAGGCGGTACTGCAGCCCCCCCCCCCCCCCCCCTCCCCCCCTCCTTCTTTTAAACCGGCCTGTGGCTTCAGTTCATGGTTCTGCTGCTACTCACCAAACCGTATTGTCTCGAAGAAATTGCCCAATCAACTTTTTTTATATAAATATTTCACCTTGATTCCAAATACTATATAGGAATCCACATACTATAAAGGATTTCTGTTTGTTTAGGGATGTTAAATGCCCATACAAACCAATTCTGTTGGGCACAGTTTGCAGCTTTCAGGCTAGTTTAACTTAGAAAACAATTACCTGCGAACCCCATGAAGGTTTTTATTTTGTGTGGAATATTGAATCCTAGATTAATGAATTGCAAGGGGATTTTTTTTGGTTTCTTTTGTTACGTCAGTGCTTTTAAAATGGGGAAATTAAGTCAGGCTACAGAGTGCTGCTCCACCTGTTTGTGACGCCAGTTTATTCTGAGTCCTGCAGTTAAACTACAAGCCCGGATGCATCTGCAGATCTAAGCAGAAAAAGATGAGCATCTTGTGTCGTTTTGTTTCATAAGGAGTGTTTACCACAAAGCGATAATGTCCTGTTTCTTTTCTTGTTGAAGCTGTCTTTTTTTTTCAAAAAGAAAATGAAAAAACTGCTTTTTTGGGGGGTTTACCAGCACAATAACAGACATCCATAATATCTCTTGCTCAGCTTTTCCAGTCGGGCTCTACAAAAATCAATTTTTTTGTTGTAAATTGCATCGGCTTCTAACTGAGGGGGGTCGCACCACATGCAGAGTTATTTTGAGCCACCCAACAATAATGCCGAGCCTTTACCAGCCGCTGGCCCACAGATCTGAGTCTGTGGTGGCGCCTCCCCCTAAAATATGGTTTAGTTTGGCAGCTGTGGGCGCGTAACGCTCTTCCTGTCCGCTGCCTGGTTTCCGTTCCCCGCTGTGCGGCACTCTGGGCCGTCCAGCGGGAGCCCCACCGGGATCCAAGGCTTTTCCCAGCCAGCTGCCGGTCAGCCTGCTGCTGACCGGGGGGCCGCTCCTGCTGCTGACCGGCGGGCCGCTCCTCCAGATGATTGACCGTCCTGACGGCAGTTATTGACAAAGGGGAAGAAGGAGCCCGCGCTTTTTTCCAGTCTCCCTCCGCCTCAGCTCTGATGAGCCCCCGGCTTCTTTTCTGAATGGGGCGGCCTGCGGAGTTAATGGACAGCAAACGGCGTCTGCAAACGGCGTCTGCAGTGGCTGCGTTTGTCCGTTTCTGTGTTCAGCGCAGTAGGACTGGACATAACGGCCCCAAACGCGGACAGAAAGGCACATCTTCCAGAAATTCTGAAAGGAATCGGCCATGTTCCAAATAGGGATTTCCCGATCAAGATTTTTGCACGTACAATTCGATACAGATGCTGGCCTATCTGAGCATGTATTAAAGTTTAAAGTTATTTAGCCTACTTACTTAGTTGTCAGACTCATGTTGAACAGGGATTTACTCTGATAACCATTTAATGGTTAGGACACAGACCTGTGGTTGAGGAGATGCTAATGCTAATGCTCGTGTGGAATCAGACTTTAAAAAAAAAACTGGATCGGGAGTCTGGATCTGCATTTTCTCCTGCCGGCCGATGCATATTTTTTTTGCAAATATTGGCAGCTGATCCGATCCAGATATAGCGTGGCTCAGAAATGACCCAACCACCAAGAAACAGACAAGTTTTTTTAGTTGTCTTAGTATGGGTATTGCCTATCGAAGTCCGCTAGTAGCAAAACTATTCCGTTTCCGTTGAGTTTGTTTGGAAAAGCGCGCTGCTGGGGAGTGTGGCGGCGCGTAGGTTCCGGAGGCTGAAACGCGTCCCGCCAGAGGCCGAGTGCGGCAGGCAGGACCAAATAAGGCTCAGCACCTCCTGCACGCGCTCGCATTCCGGAAAGGCAAAACCTCGCCGCTTAGCGACCCGCGTCCAGCGTCCAGCCTCATTTCTGTTCCTACTCGCAACGCATTTATGCTTTAGTATTTGCATTTTCCCTCCCCACGTGTGGCCCATCGGTGTCGGTTCAAATGTGCTGTGAATTCCAGGCCTCTTTAAAGGGTTTTTACTATGGTCTGAACTCCTTATTTGGGCGCTGACGTATGCCGTCTGCTGACTGAGCGCTTCGTTCACTCCCGGCTGATCGAGCCGTTGCTGCTAAGCAGCCAGATCCCCCCCCCAGCCGCCGCTAAGGGAGCCAATCCGGAGCTGCTAGAGGAAAGCGAGGGCTGCTTTGTCAGAGCCGGTCGCTTCTCTTTTACGATTCGGGTACCACGGCGAGGCTTTGAGGGAGCTTTGATAGAAAATCGGCCCCGCTCAAATCCTTTTTCCAGCCTGGTGATTGGAATCCACACAGCAGGGCCGCTGCCCCCCGTGTGATCAGCCAGCAGAGAGACCGGACACTCTGGGAAACGGGCTTTAGGGAGATGGAGAGGAGAGGATGGAGCCTTTCCACTCTGACACCCCGGATCGTCTCTATTTCCCACTATGAAGCAGTAAAGCCGTTTTCCCACACAGGAAATGATGATAATTAGAAAGGATTCACTATAGATAGATGGAGGGAGAGATGCATTTATAAGTCAGGGAGGACTGTTGTTCTCCAGTCCAGCGGGATTGGCTTCATCAGAGGGATTTCTGCTGTTCCTGAGTGGTGAAATTAAAGATGTTTGTTCTGATTTTTTTATTTGTATTTTTAACCCCTTTGTGTTTTTGTAAGTGCGGATGTTCATAACTTGCCCCGTTGCTTTTTGCTCTGTTGTTAGGAGTGTTTCCACCAGTGTTTTTATGTTGTTTTTGTTTTGTTTTTTGCCCGTCTCCCTCAGACTATCTCCGCCAAAGCTATGGGCTCTCCACAGACTTCGCTCAGCCGTGCGACTACAACAAACTGGTGCTGTCGCTCCTGTCGGGCCTCCCCAACGAGGTGGACTTTGCCGTCAACGTTTGCACTCTGCTCTCCAACGAGAGCAAGCACGCCATGCAGCTGGACAAGGACCCCAAACTGGTCACGCTGCTGCTGGCCCACGCCGGCGTCTTCGACGACTGTAAGTACCCCCCCCCCTACACACACACTTTTTAGGCAGTTTCTTTCCATTTTCCTCCAGCTTCAAAAGTATTTCCTATCCTCTTGGCAGCCGTTGAAAACTATCAGTCTGAAGATGAATGTTTATCAAAAGGTCAAATCTGGTTTAAGCCTCCCTTTTTGTTTCCTTCCAGCTCTTGGCAGCTTTTCGGCGGTGTTTGGGATGGACTGGAAGGAGAAAACCTCCCGGGACTTTGTCAGGGTGAGGAATATTTTCTTTGGCGTGTGTGTGTGTCTTTAGCAAAACCTCGGAATAATCTATATCTTTAATCCAAAGCTATGAAACAAACTCTTCCCCCCGAACCAGCGAGCATCTCTGTCCAGTCTGAATATTGGCAGAAATACCTCTGTGCGGTTTCCCCTGAAGCATCTCGAAGGGTGAAGGTCCACTCACCTCAGCCTCTCTCCCCGTTTGAGATAACTTATGCATTAGTGGCATTCGGAGCACTGTGTTCCCGTTTTCAATTCATCCGCCGTCCCACGTGCTTCTAGGCTGCTCCGAGAGGAGGTCAGAGGTGACAGACGGTCAATAAAAACGCTCCGACAGCCGGCGTCCAGATGAAAAGGCTTTGATGGGCCTTATCCGGAGGAGCGCAGACCTCCACTTCAGAATGCTCAATGCATTCACTTCATGTTTTTCTGATTTTATTTGATTTTTTTTCCTCTTTGATTTAGAAAAAAAAAAAAAAGAATGCCATATGTTAGAGGCAGCATCAGCTCCCAGTAGGGCTGAGCGAAAAGTTAGATTTTGATTTTTCTTTTTTCTTTCCCCAAAATGTTCCACTTTATATGGAAACATTTTTGTATTTTTTTTCTCTGGAATATTACAAATAATAAACAGGTCGTTGTTCGTTCGACATCAAATACCCAAAGTTCCTCCAAGAAGCCGAACTTCTCAGGCCCTTTTTTTCAATGATCTTCTCCTGGGCAGTATTCTCCTCTCGATTCCTGTTCAGCGCTGTTTAGATGTGATTGGGTATTCGCAGGTCTGTGAAAACTGATGACTTTTTTTTTTAAAAAGGCGCCGGCTTATCGAACGTCTCATTTATAACCGTAGAGAAATTTGACATCGCGAAAAAAATCGAAATCGGAAAAATTGCCCAGCCCCAGCTCCCAGCAGCTCAGAATCTGACCGCTCGGTCGGTTGCATTTTGGGAAATGTAGGCAGAATCCCACGCCTCTCCATGGCCATCCCATGGGTGTATTTATTTATTTTAAGCGTGTGCTTACCTGTGAGCACCAGAGACTCACTGACAGATGGATGAATTCCTTTTGCCAGAGCCTGTGACACCGTTTGAAAGACTTTGCTAACAGTGTCTTTCCTATTTTCTCTCTTTCTTTTCAGTTTTGGAAAGAGGTGGTGGAGGACGCTGAAGTCAGGGAGCTGATCTGGGACAAGAGCAGCCCGGCACAAGGTGACCAATAAAAGAGCGGCGCACACACTTTAAACTGGGTCATCCATAGGATGAATATCCTTACAACAGAATGTAAAATACGACATAATGAATGAGAGTGCCTTTTGTAAAGAAGACTTTTTCATACAGAAAAAGATTCCTTAAAGTCTTGATTTGCACTGAATAAATACCAACATGAATTGTGCTTCCCGTCTCCAGATGGGATGTCGTGTGAGCGCTGGCCGAGCCTCTTCCACCCGCCTCGGAACCCGGGTATCAGCGACATGGAGGCCCAGCGGGTGCTGCAGATTGCCGTTATCTTGCGAAACCTCTCCTTCGAGGAGGCCAACGTCAAGCTGCTGGCGGCCAACCGAACGTGCCTGCGCTTCCTTTTGCTCTGCGCCCACTGTAACCTCATCTCACTCCGGCAGCTCGGGCTGGACACGCTGGGCAACGTGGCGGCCGAGGTGGGTCCCCGGCCGCGGGGTCGTCCACGGCAACGGCCGAAACTCAGACAAAAGAGTTACCTCCGGTCTTTTTAAAAACGTCACTACAACGAGATGGTTTGACGAGGCGATGTTTATTTTCTGCCTCCCACCCAAATGTATTGGTTTTTGTTTTGTCAAGGGCAAAACATTCAACATGTTCACCAGACTTAGTTGTATTTAGACCATAAAATGTACGATTAAAAGCCGTTTCAGATTAGTTGCCTGCAGATGTAAACATCTGGCATCTTTCCTGGCGTCTATGTGCTCTTGATTTAATGCCACTAAAATTTAAGACCATCATTATCTGCTTTGATTTTATTCTTATTTTAGGGTTAGACCCTTTAATACAGTTATGAACGCTGCTCTGACAATGTCGAGGCCTGAATTCTTAAAATGACAGCAAATTGTCAGTTACAGTCAAATTTATAGTCTCAAATTGTACCAAAACGAACAAATACTGACCTACAACTCTTAAAATCCCAGACTCCTCTCTTGTGAATTCATTCATTCATTCACTTTGTCCTCTTTATTTTTGTAAATTGGTAAAAAGATAAGTTCCATGTCTTTTTAATCGCTCTTCCCCATTTTACATGTTTACAAGTTTTTCTTCCCGAAAGTCTTTGGGGTTCTTCTCTCGTGTTCCTGTACACATCGGTTTGGTCCAGTGTCTGAGGAGGACAACTTGACTCCCATTTAAATTTTTATTCCTTCTCCCCCTGTGTGTTTTCTCGCAGCTCCAGCTGGATCCCGTCGATTTCCGGACGACACACCTGATCTTTCACACCATCACCAAATGCTTGATGTCCAGGGACCGGTTCCTCAAAATGAGAGGCAAGTTTTCTGACCCCCAAACCTCTCACACCCCACAACCCGTCTCCAAGAAGCGTCGGTTAAACAAGTGCGTTTGTACCCCCCCCCCCTACAGCCATGGAGATCCTGGGGAACCTCAGCAAAGCCGACGACAACGGCGTGCTAATCTGCGAGTACGTGGACCAGGAGTCGTACAGGGAGGTGATGATGCTCCTCACCCTGCCGGACCTCATGCTCCTCATGGCCTCCCTGGAGGTGCTGTACCTGCTGGCCCAGCTGGGCGAGATCCCCTGCAGCAAGATCGCCTCCGTGGACCGCAGCATAGGTAACGGGACGCAGACCCCGATCCGCCGAACGGGCTGGAAACGTGTCTCTTGGTTTTTAACTTTTCCCCCCCTCTCTGCCCCGCCCCAGACCTGCTGGTGCGGTTAGTGTCGGTGGACCTGCACACGTTCGGCCCCGACGCCCTGACGGCGGTGCGGCTCATCGAGCACCAGGCCAGCGTGGATCAGGCGGCCGAGGTGCGCCCGCAGCTGGTGGAGCAGGTTCCGGCGGCCGGGCAGGGAGCGCAGGCACCAGGTGAGCCGCCGCCCCCCCCCCTTACTCCACCCGGCCGAGCTTAAAGCGCCGCTAGGGATGAGGAATGCAGGGAAAAGAGCCAGAATCAGCCTAAGCCAGAAGTTTGCTGTTTATTTACCTGAACCGGGCTCTTAATTTGTTATTTATTTACCTGAACCGAGCTCTTAATTTGGTATTTATTTACCTGAACCCAGCTCTTAATTTGGTA